TAACGTATATAATATTTCAAAATCAGGCATCCACTTTTTTCTAAAAATCAATAATCAAAAACTGTGACAATTGGCCCCGGTCTCCCCTACACCTAACTATAGCTCGTTTAATATATTGACCTGGGTTTTACTATTTATTAATAATTTTTTTTACTTGAACTTACGTTCTTCTGAAGAAGCATCTGAATATTGATAAGCCTGGATACAAACTACGGCAAATGCCAAGATCAGTAGATGTAAAATCTTATACCCCATGTTTTTACCGAGTGTTATTGACAGTAGAAACTCGAACGGCTATTGTGCTAATGAGATTCATGTTGCTTATTTGACGTATTTATAAGAACAAACTCCGCTAATTATAATGCGAAATAATTACTAGCTATGCTATCTATCGCTTGCGTATACATGTGTGACATATTTTTGTTTTCGCATATCCGCTCATTTCATATAAAAGTATATATTTTTCGAAATGCAATTTTATAATTTACTTTCCTACAAATAAAATTTCAAAACCGGTAAAACGATTTCCTGAATTCGCAGCAAAAGATTGAATATTAATTGTTCAAATTATGATGAACTGTACACTAAAATAGGTTCAAAATTTTTAATTTTTTCGTTATTAATCTATATTTCATGTAGGGCAAATGGACTTTATTTCGACCCTCTTGAATGAGAATTTCTAATTCTGCTCGAAGTTTTATAATAATCATGATTGTAATAATAGCGATTTTATGATTTTAATGGATTATTTCTGAGTATTAATAAGAGAGTGTTAATACATTTCTTTGCATGCGCATATTTGCTCTAATGACTTTTCACGAAAGTAAACGTGTTATGAATATAATTGAATTTTTATTATTACTTTCATTTGAAAGTCAAGGAATGTCAAATATAATTGTTACGTACGCAGCATACATCGAATAATATTTTTTCTGACTCGCTCTTATCGTTTACTTGTTACCTACATTGTATTACTTACATTGTGTAATTTTTTATCTTTACTTGGTAATGACAGATATAAAAAATGCGAAGGACAATGCCATGTTGGACAATAACACTTACTTACACGTGGTACATAATATCACTTTATCACTTTTTGATAAATTTTTGTAAATGGTTATAAATTTTGCACAAGAAACTAAGAACAAAATTTTCTATGTTTCGTACCAATTTATAATCACTTTTAAAATTTTATTTTCAAAATGAACAAAATGAGAATTATTAGAACGGTTTTGAATATTTCTTCTCTGAATACTTTTTTAAAACGTGATGTGTCAAAATTAATTACAAATCTTGGAGATTGTTAGAGACAGCTCTCTCTCTCTCTCTCTCTCTCTCTCTCTCTCTCTCTCTCTCTCTCTCTATACTTAACTTTAAAAATTTCTGCGCAATTCACTCACAAAACTGTCGATATATATACGTACATTTTATACGTAACATATGTTTATTGGAAACTCTTCTTTAAAAATTATAAACGACAAAAGTCGCATATCTAATTCTTAACAATTTTTCTACACTGAGAAAAAATATCCTAAATTTCAATAAATATTTATTTAAATAGTACCAACTAAATATTTATTA